GCTCCCCCAGGACAAATACTCCAGGAAGAAACACGAGGAACGTCCTGAACATGGATGAGCAGGCTGCTGCGAAGGGGGAGGGAGGGAGGGAGGGAGGGAGGGAGGGAGGGAGGGAGGGAGGGAGGGAGGGAGGACACCAAGGGAGAGGAGAGAGGAGAAGCGGGGGGGAAGTGTGCGCTTACATCAAGTTGTTGTAGTAAGTTCTTCCCCACGAAGTCATGTCATTCGATCTGATCACCATCTGACGAGGCAACGGGAAGGGGGGGCGGAGGGAGAAGTCAGCGATGCGAAGTCAATCCAGGCTCCTCTCACTTTGGTGACGAGCGGATAAGCAGCGTTTGCACATCCATAGATGAACACCCAAAACATGTTGCTGATCACGAAACCCTTGTCACTCAGCACAAACCTGTCGCAAAGAAGCGTCGTAAGCAATCAAACCCAACATCCCAGCAAGCTCAGTCTTCACCCGATGGCTCCCAACACGACCAAACATAGCGCTCCGATTGCCTCCATGCTCAGCGCTCGTGCCTGACCGAAAGGGTAAGGGCAGAGAAGCAAACTCCCTTCCCCCCCCACCCCCAACCCTTCCACCCCCCTCCTCCTACTGCTACATCTGCTACTCCACGTCTCGCACCTGCAGCAGGCGGAAGTCTCCATAGGCCGTGACGAAGATCGAGAGAGTTCGGAACACAATGACGGCCTCGACGTTGGCAGCCTCCAGCGCCTGGGCCAGCAGCGGTGAGGCGGACGCGCCAGCAGGACGGGAGCTGCTTGTTACCTTTGCGTTGGTGAAGAGGAGGATCATGAAAGCGACGGCATTCCAGAAGAATGCTCTGGCTGTCGTCAGCTCGAAGGGATCAACCTGAAGATCACATCAGCATCGTCTGCCCGGTAAGACAAGGATGTACACACCCTGATCACGTTCATCTTGCCGAGGCCATACAAGAGAATGGCGGAAGATCCAACCTGGAGTGCAAGGTGCGGTGAGGTCGTGAGGGGACAGGGCTGCGAGTCACTTGGAAGAGAAGAACAGTTGTCGCCGCTGGAATCAGCTTCAACACAGCCTGTGAAGCCCTCACAGAGAGTTTGGATGGCATGTGAACACTGACCTTGTTCAAGACCAACATGGTCGACGACACGGTCATGTGGCTCACCACCAGGAAAAGGATGAAGCTTGTCGACGCCATCTTGGAGGAAGGGAAAGAGCGAGCAGGAATCTTTTCGCGTCAAGACTGAATTGCACTCATCTCCCTTGGCAAGGGCAGAAATATCTTCAAACAAACGATTCAGCAACCCACCAACATCACTCGCATTCATCACACAGTGCCCTTCTTCCTTTATCATTCACCATCTGCATGACCCTATCTTCATCCTCCTGCCCGCGTCTTGCCCGACTCTTTGTGATTCCCCTCAGCTATCGCCCTTACGATTTACTTGTCCATCACAATTCAATCTCCCGTCTCATTCCTGACGAATGACCCCTCCTGTTCCTTCTCTAGCTGCTCCTCAATCTCTTCACCGTCCTGGTCCTGGTCCTGGTCCTGGTCCTGGTCCTGGTCCTCCTCCTGTCGTTTCATCCTTCCTATCCATGATCTCTTCGTCGCTCGTTTGTATTCCTCACTTCTCAAACCCTCATGCTCTCAATACCACCCTTTCTAACCTTCTCGCTACTCCCTCTCAGCTTTGCTTTTCTATTCTTTTGATGTACTCACCACCTCCCCTCTCCTCCTGACTTTTCCCTACTTTCCTCGCATCCTGTCTTCCAAGTCCCTTCAATCCGCTGTTCTTCAACCATACACTGTACCCCTTGGTTTTCCTCTCTCTTCTGCACTGCATCTCTCTCCTCCTCCTCTATCGAGATCATCATCGTCCTCACATCCTCCTCCTCTCTCCTACCCTCTCCTTCTCCCTCCTCCTCTCTCCTTCTCCCTCCTCCTCCTCTCTCTTCCTCATCTCTTTCCCTTCCTCCCTCCCGCCATGTCCTCCCCAGCAGCATCACCGCGTGCTAGAGCACTGTGAACGATGTCGCAACAGTTTTGGATTAAGTTTTAATTTGTACAAGGAGTTAATGATTTCTTTTTTATTACAATGTCATCTACTAATTTAGAGTTAAAATTATTGTATTAAACATATGAATATCTTTTAAAAGTCAAACACGGTACAGATGGGTACAAATGCTTTTTTCGTTCTCGTTTCCCCTCCAGGGATTTTAACTTCCCCAAATCTCCGAAATTTCAAAATGAAACTCTACAATTATCAAATTTTGGACAGAGATTCCATCTTGATGCCACAACTCTGGCAGCCAGCCCGGCCGGGTGCGCCGTCCGAAGGTTCAAAGCGGCCTCGGGAGTCCGGGCCGGGCCGCCGGGGAGTCGGGGAGAGTCCGATCATGTCGTTAGTGTTACTGACTGAGATCACTGGCCCGGGTAGCCTCGGACGACCCGGCGGCGGCTCGTGCGGCCCGGCCAGTTGGAGGCCCGGACTTGCCTGACTGTGAGGACTCCCGGAGGCGGTCCGATCGCCCCGGATCATGCCGGCGACTGATAGGACTAATGATCACGGACTGATTCGGCGCGGCCAGTTTGACGGAACTTGAAGTACTGAGTCAGAGGAGGGAGGAGGGGGCGCAAACTTGAAATTAGAGCGAAGATGAAGAATAATGGCTGAAAGAAGAACTCCTGGGAGGAGGGGAGGCCCTGAACGAGCATACGAGGTCAACTTGGGGGGATGAAAGGGAGGGAAATAGCACTGCAGTTTATCACTAGTTGCGATTTGTCGAAGCTGCTCCTAACCTGAAGGGATTTCTTCTTTCTTGCAATCTGCAGCATCTAAGTAGCTCTCGAGCACCCTCCTGCCCATACGAAGTCAGCGAGTTTGAGCAACAGGTATCGGAGGAGGGAGAGGAGAGATGGAGGTGGTATGCGATAGCAAGGAGAATGAATGTGAAACACAGCGATGAGATACCAACATGAGAGAAGAAAAGAAGTGGAGTCAGAGGATACACAGCAAGGCTCAACGGGATCGGGAGGATCTTAGAATGAAGGGGAGGAGGAAGGCAGGAGGGGGGCGATAGACACGCACCTGCAGCCATCTCGGAGACTCACTTGAGGTTGCCAGATCTCATGCAACATGCTGTTAAACTTCTGCATGACGACAAGTGTGAGACGGGAGGAGCGCGACATGGGTATCCTTCACCGGAGATAATCTCTCCCTATGGGTCGCTGGGGTTTCGCTACAGACGAAGCAAGTTAGCGAGTCTGGGCCGGGCGATTCACCAAAGTCCACCTGAAGGAGACATGGCAGTCCAGCGACTTCTGCCTCGCAGCCATCTCCAGCTCTTGACGGGCAGGACAGTCAGTGCGAGGTGAACAGAGGAAACGGTCAGGCAGGCACCATTAGCTGCCGTCCTCATGTTTATCCACTCCCCGGTGGAAATGTCGGTCTCCGACGGAAGTGCTGCCAACCATGTTGAGCAAGACAACAAGTTCGCAACCCGCCCACCTTGATGATGCAGCATGGCGACGCCAAGGGCGTCCGCCACGTCCGAGACATGCACGAACTGAGCCCATCGTCACGCTCGCTTCCCCTGCTCCTGCGTTACCTGTCGCTCCTCTAGACCATCCGTTCGCGACGTCGCTGACCCCTAACACCACTATCACTGCTTCCACCACTGGAACTTCATCCCCTCTACCTGCTGGACACATTGCTGGGCCCAGTCCGACAAGACATGACTACAAGATCGTCATGAGAAGGGAAGAGAGGGAGGGAGAAGAGGGTGGGGAGATTGAAGGGAGGAGAAGCAAGAGTGGGAGGGAGGGAGGGAGGGAGGGAGGGAAGGGAGGGAGGTGGTGGGGAGGAGTAACTCTCTTACCTCTTGAGCCCTATAGCCTCTGCCCCATACACGTTCCATAGCCTCAAAGTTTTTCCTATCCCTGCCGTCAGCTGCTCATTTCCCAGTGCCGAGGCATACCTAGCCCGTCCAAGTTTCGGATCCATTGCTCGCCCAGCCTCTTGACGACCCCGTAGGAGTTTTCCGTTCCCTGCTCATGAGATGTCAAATGAAGACATGGGCTGTATCGTAAAGAATCGACAGATGAGATGTGATGCATCGTAGAGGACATCAACAGATGTCAGATGGAGGACATCAACGGAAAGATAGTATGTATCATGGAGGGTATCTGTAACCTGCAAATAGGAGGAGGTGAAAGTGAAAGGTATCTTGCGGTCAGCGAGCCACGGTAGGACGTTCTAGAAGGACAGACGATCAGCTCTGTCCGACTGTTCTCAACGAACTTAATCTGTGACACCTGATATATCCTGAGATTGCTCTCGATGATTCCAAGCTTTCACAACCGTCACTTGTTGAAATGAACATGAAGATAAGGGTGCAAAGCTCACTTGTAAGTTCTGAGCGGAGCTTTCAATGAATTTGCTTCCACCCACCTGCACATAACAAACATGAGCTTCCAGTCTCAGCAGCGACTTCTCACACAACTCACCTCACAAGCCAAGAACATGCAGTGATCTATCTTAGTGCCGTTGAATACACCCAGCGCGCCTAAGTAACCTGTTAACTCATACTTTCTGCGTTTGCGATCAATGAAACCATGCTCGCGAAGGTCTATGTGCAGTCTGTTCCTTACATGTGCGATATTGTATCCCTATCGCAACATCATCAGTCTGTACGAATGTCATCATTCACAAATCAGCACATTCTGTCTCAGCCAACGGACGACCTCCCTGGCCGGTAAAAGTCAAGGATAATGGTCCGCTCACACACAGCTAGGAACTCACTGTCCAACTAGTCCGCCACTTCCCAGCACGAGCACAGTTTGATTCTTCTCGTGAAGGAACTCGATCGCAGACGACTGGTCGCGGGGTAGCACATCCCAAGGTCAGTGGCAGTTCTGGGGTGACAATCTTCATACCTCATGCACTGCAAACAAGATCGTCAGAGGATGAAAGTGCACGATGAGGTTCAGAGGAAGAGAACAAATGCTCTCACCTGCTTCCTCCAGGACCCCACAGATCGCCAAGTTGAGGAGCAGCACGAAGGCGGCCCCACGGCCGTGAGGCGATGGTATATCCGCATCCTAGCGAACCTGAGCAACTCTCAAGTTGCGCACCAGTATGATGATGTGAGATGTTTTGATCTAATGCAGGTGACTACTCGAATCACTGACATGTCGTGACCAGTCGATATGAACATCTTGTGCACTTGCACAGCAGGACATCCTTTCTGCGTCTTACCCATGAGCTCAGCTTTGTCCTCATGAAACTTATCCATCTTCTCGGTTGCACTCACTTTCTTTCACCTATCTCATCTCCACCATTCTTCATGATCTGGATCGCAAAGCTCATCTTGAAAACTTCTGATCTTGTATACCTTCCGGTCATCCCGACAGTTTCTAAAGTACACTTATCTTCCCCTCTTTCTTTCCCTTCTCACCTTTCTTCCACCCTCTTCCATCCCTCCTCCCTCCTCCTACTTCAGCTACTACTTCTCTTCCTCCTGCTCCTGTTACTCCTGCTCCGGGCCTCGTCGCCCCATCGTGCTTACCTCCAGACTGCTGGTGGGCATGAATCTATCGGATTGAAACCACCCCACCCCCTCACCCCACCCCCTCGATTTCCACTACCCCTCTTTTTTCTTGAGTCATACTTGCCCCCTATATTATGAATATTTACTGTATCGAACAATAATAAAATATACTCCATATCCCACCCTTATACGATGAGCTACCTTCAACACTACCCCTCACCCCCTAAAACGGATCACTACCGCACTCATGATGGTATGAGTGCCAGTGCCAGTGCCACGCCTCCCTCAACTATTTTTATAAATATTGTATATATAAAATTAATGGTACAAAAGATATGAAAGCTGTTATAATATTAAAACACATATTGACATCTGATGTGTGACCCTCATCCCCAAACGAATCTGACAAATGATGGGTCCTACCCATCGCTTGACTTTTACTACCCCTACCTTTCCAACGATTTCTACCTGAATAGCACCGGTGATTGTATACCCCTACCTACCAGCGGATCTTCCTCTACGAACTCGCAGCTCGTCTCCATGGTGGAGATTCGAGACGGGGAGAGCGAGGGATGGATGGGAGAGGAGAGGAGAGGAGAGGAGCTGAGATAAGATGAGAGAGGAGAGAGGAGAGGAGAGAGGAGAGAGGAGAGGAGAGAGGAGAGGAGAGGAGAGAGGAGAGAGGAGAGGAGAGAGGAGAGCAGAACAAGGACGAAGGTACGAGGGATCATGATGATAGAAGATGGCATGGGATGGGATGGAGAGGGCATGAAGGAGGAGCAGGAATGAGATGATCTTTAGAGACGGGTAAGGTGTGCATGCTGGGAAAGGAGAGAAAGCTCTTCACGATGTACATTTCAAGCAGTAAGACTGAAAGGCAGAGGTTTGGAGGCTGGGCAAGACTCCATTCATCATTGGATTTGGGGATGTGGGTGAGGGAGGATCAGGAGGTCGGAAAGGAGCAGAGAGGAAGGAGAAAGTCTCAGGGTTGAGGGAGCAGTGAGCAAGGCAAGGAGTGATGTCGTTGAAGATCCTGACGTTGACGACACGGGGAATCAGCGAATGGAGGGAAAGAGAGGATCGTGGAGAGGACAGGTAGGTGTCTTGTTTTGTCCAGATGAGCAGACAGAGGTGGGGAGATTGAGAGATGGGCAGAAGACGATTAGATCGCATCCAGGAAAGGTTGAAATAACAAGGAGAAATTAAGACAAAAGCTGTACAATCATCACGAATTTCGCCATGGATCCGCTGCCGGAACTATCCGGTTATTGATACCTGTCTTCGCAGCAGGAACGAAGACGGCAGAGCATGCAGTCTTGTTTGCTCTCTGGTAAACTTGGTTTCGAGCTTTGGCGCCCAAAAGTTTGAAACTTTCTCGACCGTGAACTATCATTCGCTGCCAAGGAATGTATCGAAGTGCTGATATGAGGTGACTGTGGGTATGGAAAAAGCATCGTGATGGCATGGTAAAAAACCAAGACAACACTCTCGACATGTTCGCTCAAACACATGCCTTGCAGGAACTGGTGGCCAGATAATTGGCTGCTGCTGGTGCAAGGTCATGAAATCATGTGACTGAAGGGGCTAGTTCCCGCTCACGTCTCGTTCTTCAGGCTTCCTCCTTGGTCTCCTACTTCCGCTCTCTCTGATCAGCCTCCTGTCGCTCGTGGGATTGATCCTCAAGTGTACTGTGTACAAGAGACGCCCTAGCGCTCAATTGCCTCTGGTCAGGTCGGAATGTACTTGCTCGTGAACTTACGTTGTCTTGCAGCAACTCTCCAAGGGGAAAGTGAAAGATGTCCGGCGATCCTTCTTGTACCGGCTGCTCTTCTCCATCAGGTGCGTTGAGCCGTCTCCTGAGGAGACATGCGGTTTGACGTGGCGGCAGCAACAATGTACTGTTGGTGTTCTTGTTCGGCAGTTTGCTGTCCATGACAACCATCCTTAACTTCCTCGTCGTCACAGGTCTCATCATTGAAAACTCTCCCTAACTCTTCCTGACGTTGCGTCCTCAGGATTTTTCGGATGGCCTGGCCAGAGGAAGTTCACTACGATCCAATCAGACCTCTGGATGTAAGATGTGTAGCGATGGTGGTGGTGGTGGTGGTGATCAGAAGGAGAGGGAAGGGGAGAACGAGGGGGAGGGAAGCGGAGAATAGAGACTGTCATGGACAAATTTGGTTTTGCGATGGTGGTGTGAAGATGAAGATGAATTCTGATCGCGAACTTGTCTGTTGCTCTTGTGCTCAATGGATTCGGCAGGGCTGCAAGGAGGCAGTTGACTTGGTTTCATAACGGCTGGTCGCACATTGTGGGGTGGTACATCGCTCTTGACGACCCTGAAGTTGAAGGTAATGATGAGATGGGACAGGGAGAGAGGAGGAGAAAGAGAAGGGGAGCGAACGAGAGAGCAGAGGGTCGAAGAGATTTTGGCACATCCACATCCGAGCAAGAACATACAGCGGGGGAGCAGGAGGAGAGGTGGGGAAGAGGAGAAGTGTAGAGGAGGCGGAGGTGCAGAAGAACTTGGGAGACGGAGGACATGGCGGAAAAGGGAGAGGAGGTTTGTGAATGTGACGAAGAGGGCAATGACACTTTCACCATCCGAAGGTTTCAACGTAGCGGCAGCTCGGATACGAGAGAAGGTGAGGAGGAATAAGTGCTTACATGGCCCTGACGTCTTGTCTACTCTAGTCAAGCATCCTTGCTGTGTCAGAGAGCGGAGATATCGTGCCAGAGAAGAAGTGAGACGACGAAGAGGAGGATAGGAGATGTTAACATCCTCTTCCAAGGGACTTGAATCAGACTTTCGTCAATGCGACAAAGCCGAAGTTGGAGCTGAGGGTGATGATGATGATAACGACGATGACGATGACGATGACGATCATGCTTTTTATGATGATCAAGATGATGATTATGATGATGACGACGACTTTATCGTCTGTTCTGATCCTCCATTTGATCGCAGACTTCAATGCACTGGGAGAAGAAAGCTGGGCTGCAAGTTCCCGTCTTTGACGAGCTTGTCGACCACCAGCCGATGACCCGAGAGGTTTGACAACCTGCC